CTGTTCGGCCACGGAGACAGTTAATAAGTTATATTCACTAGTTTGATATAATTATTAATACAAAGATTGAACACAAAGAAAAATACTTTCAATCTCACAGGACTCGAATCTGTCTGTTTTGCCAACATGGAACAAACGCTCTGAGTCAGCAGACCTTTACGAATTTTTCTATGCGTTTGTTACAGGGGGCCTACTCTGACTGAGCTCTTAGAGAAATCCTATGTATGACCTCACAAAAACAATTCGCTGCAGTTTATGTTTCCCATTCGAAATCAGTTCACCTTTTCTTTCATAGCAAAATCTATCACGACTATCTATCTATCTATCTGTAAAAATAAGCAATTCAAAAAAGTTACAACGTCACTAACTTTTTTAGATTTTGGTACGTTTTTAAGAAATTTCGTTTAAGTTTCATTATATTTTTAATTAACCGACTTCAAAAAGGAGGAGGTTCTCAATTCGACTGTATGTCCTTTTTTTTGTATGTATGTTACGCGATAACTTCGGTATTTGTGAACCGATTTTCATGATTATTTTTTGTTGGAAAGGGGGTACTTCCATAGTGGGACCCATTTCATTTTGAAGAAAATCATCCACCTTTAAGTGTGGCTGTTCACGCATGAAGATTCAATTTTATAAATAGCGCCTAACTTTATTTATTTATTTTTTTATTTATTTATTTATTTCAGGCAACTAGGACCCATAAATACATACCTTACAGACTAACATACATATAATATAACAATAATATAATAAAACAATAACAGAAATATTAAATAAATACCTTACGGACTAATCATAAATACAATATAACATGATAATATACATATAACCCTATTTAACTTTAATTTAGGAGCAATTATTTTAATGGTTGATTTTGCTAATTCTCCAATCCAAGGCGTTTTTCTCTCCATATACTGTGAGTAGTGAGAACCGATTATTATTATCTCCAGTGTGAAGTCCTGTATAGTGGCGAACTAGAGGATGTTTCAATAAAACTTAGCAAATAGACGTAATTCCACGTACTTTTGAGGTCAGTTTTTTTAGTACTGAAATTATTTCATAAATATTTGTTATCTATAAAGGCTATATAGCCAATGGTCAATAAATAAATATAGTGTTTTTTGAAAATGTTAGTTCCAGTTCCCAAAAGTATTGTTGATAAATTATTGGCATGAATGTTATTGCAATTTTAATAATTTGAAAAATTTTATTTACCGAAAATCGTGAAATAACTTTTAATTATTGTTGCCAAATTTGACTTTAATGCAATCAATGAAAATGTAATAATACAAGATACGTTCCAATTATGTTATCAAATTACAAACTCACCTTATTAATTTTAATGATAATGACTAGACATGACATGTAATTTTGTCGTACGACAAATTGTAAAGTATGATTGAAAAGTTGCCGATATTACAAAACAATGTAATAAGTATAAACAATAAAAAAATATATAATAATAAAATTAATAAAAAATATAATTACCTACTCCCATTTTGAACACAATCGGTTAATAGTGCTTGAACGCTCCCAGGATATGCGATCAGGATATGATATCATATGATTTAGTATGTAGTTCCCTTTTTTTCCATCCTCTAAGGTAGTTCCATCTCGCACTTGTCAGATGTCAGCTAACCAGCCAGAGACAATAATTAATGTTTAAAAAGTAAAACTCATCATCCTGTCTTGCCAATCCCGTTCAACTTTGTGTAGGTCATGATATCATGATACGAATTTAAGCAATTCAGTTTTACCACGTCATGTGAATTGCATGGAACTTGGCGGGTTGCTTATAAGCTCATAGTAGGGCCTTTGATCTTTGTTTTTTTTTGTTGTTAACAGCTTTTTTGCCAGACATCTATGAAACATCTACGGAGAAGTAGATTTCTCACAGATGGTTTTACGGCAAATTAAAAACAAAGATTTGCAACAAGCACATAGAAAAATTCGTAAAGCTCGCTAGTTCTGACCGTGAATTTTTGGCATAGCATCTCCCACCCTACCGTGGCAGATGATACACTGCTGGTAAACATTGGTTCGAATTCTCTTTCACAAATACGTTCGATCCGGCTGGGTGCGAACCAACGTCTTCCAGCAAACCGTGCCCGATGCTATGCCAACTAAGCTACGGAACGAATTAGCGGACCTTACAAATTTTGCTGTGCGCTTGTTGCAGATCTTTATTTTGGTTTTTAACGAGCTTCAGATCCTATATTTTAGTTGTGGTCCACCGTACTAGTAAACATTTCGAAAACGTCATTGAGCATTTCTACTGCCGAATGGAAGAACCTGCAAGACTGTTTAGACATACGTGAAGTTTATTTCAGTTGTGTCTACATCACTACGAGTGATTTTACGGCAAAAATCCTTTGTAAAGTCATGTGTTGCAAGTTGGCAAATTGCATATTTTGTGGTAATCATAAACCTATTTTGACTTCAGTCATGTGGTAACCCGACACTTTGTCACTATTGCACCTACAGGTTGATGGAACTAACACGGCTTTACGATTCCCAGTGCGCTTACATAAAGTCATCAATGTAATAGCCGCAGAGATTCGAGTTTGTGACGCCTCATTCGCATAGGCTTTCGAAACTTTAGGGTTTGGAAAGAAAGTTTACAGCTCACGTTTGCAATGAATATTTATATATATGTTGGTAGTATTGGGTTTATTTACTATTGTTGTTTTATTGTTAGAATTATCATAAGAGACGATTTCAGTGCTGTTACACTTGTGTGTCGCCAACCTAGCAAACTATTCGCATTTATCACCTCGTTTATTTGACATCTGCGACTGATATGTCTTCCAACCGCTCTTTGATGGGAATGTTAATAATTTCAAGTATTTTCGGTATTGACCAAACGAGATTAACTACATTGCGTATACATTATCGTGTGAACAGAAATAACTTCAGATAAATACGTAAAGTCTGAACTTCAAACGACTGGTCATAAATGTTTGTATAAATATAACGTTTTATTTCCTAAACATACTTTCTAACGTTTCCAAGTTTGTACGTATTGGAATCGTGTACATTTCTAAAATCAAACACCGAACTCTACAGGGAAAAAATGGTCGTTCCGGGATTTAATCTACGCCCTAGAAATCCTCAAATGTTCACCACTGGCACCACCTCTTGTACAACAGCTCTTAAGAAAAAAGTACGCCCTTAACATGGTGCCTCAATCTACAACAAACTGCCACTAAAAATCCTATCCTTGGATATGTTCAGGAGGGAATTGTCAGGTCTATTGATTAAAAAATGCTATTACAAGGTTGATGACTATTTGAATGACAATATAGTGTGAATTATTATAATGTATATTCTTATAATTGAATATTACACAATAGAATGCATTTAAATTTTATCTGACATCGAATAGATTTATTAGTTAACCTTGAAATGTTAATTAAATATTTAGATAAATGAGATTAGATAAAATTTTCGTATGCCTCTATAAGAGGTGCATCATAGCTGTGTTAAACTAGACTGTACACCCTATCATGTTATGACCTATGATGACGAATAAATATATTAATTGATTGATTAAATGTGTGTTACATTTATATTATGGCAAATTATTTATTTACCTTAGAGTACTAAATTACTAACGCGCATTTTTTTATAGTTTGCTCTCAACCTATGCACTATTGACGGATGGCGTCAGCTTGCATATTTTTTACGGTCACATTAGCAATAATTGTTCACTCCCTGGTGAGAAAAATTGCTCGAATAGGTATAAATTTAGATTTGCAAAGAATTAAAACCTTCTGAATAAATGTCACCATATCGTACCACAACAAAAAAATACTATTTTTTAAGGTAACAGCACTAGCAAATGGTGTATAGCCAATCACTTCCATTCGGATTCCAATAAGAGTCGCGAAAAGGATAAAATGCTTACATGCGTCGGCTTACACATTACTGAACAACTTAAAAGTCTTAGATGTTCAATAATAGTTAATACTAAACTGTAGTGCATAAAAGATGCATTTGACATACCACTAAGAAAGTAACATTAATACGCTTAAAGTTAAGTTTTAAAATTAAAAGCCATCAGAGCGATGTTTCTAATACTTTTACATTATAAAAACAGTGAGTCCCAAAACATATCCTTGAGCGACACTCACTCTTTTAAAAGCTGTTATTGAAACAAAAACAATGATTCTGGCTTGTAATACTCTCTTCACCTTGCCATTTTGCCGAATGGTTCGATTTGAGATGTAATATTTAAATTGGGCAATTCACAAAGCATTTGTTTGATATTACCGACACAATCAAGAGCCTCTCTGTGTTCAATTAGAAATCGTACATCGAAAGTACATGTATTTTATGGACATCTTTTATTATTTGTAGTGCAGTATTTTAATGACACAGTTCCCTGTAAATGAAACGTAATATACGTCTGCTAAGTGTATTGTTTTTTTCTTGGAAAATTGCTCAGTATTTTATCTAATGTATGTGTAAGGTATACATTACATCACTCCCACCTTCATTACATGCAAGGACTTTAGACCTAACATTTTCCTTTAGACGTTGCGAAAAAAATCCTTGTTTTATTGTCTAGGTCATCAGCATACTTAAGCTAGAGAGCTATTTGAATGCCACAAGACACGGAAGCCTTATTAAGAATATTTTAAAGCATTTAATGTAACTGCATACAATTTGATTCACCTAGTTGACCTTAGCCATTTTAACAAGAATAATTATTTGTCTATATATAAATTTTAATTAATGGATTTTCTTAAATCTTTAAACGGCTTTTGACATAGTTTATTAATTAAACAGGCATGGTCTCGATTTGGTTGATGTATACTAAGACATTCAATTCAATATACATTGCAGCTATAAAAATCATTCATCAGAAAATATCAGAGAAAAATAATAGTATAACAAACGTTTTTCGTACTTCTTTTATTTTATTTTTAGTAGTAAAGATGTTCTCATCAGCAAACAGAATAATTTCAATAACGCAATATTTTCTTCAATTTCAGTGACAACGGGCTACGAATCCGACCGAGAGGAATGGCGAAACAGTCGTTCTCAGTTCTCAACAACAGCATTCGATAGCCTTGCTAGGCCGACAAAAATGGCCATGGCTCTTACCCTGAGGAAACCACCTACCAGAATCGAGCCAATACAATACTATAGGATGCCAAGCGAGATTCCGAAGCTGGCACCTCTGTCTTTCCGTCCTAGCAACTTCGTCCCACGAGCACCAAGGTTACCACGCCCTATGACAGAAGTTAAAAGAAACTTAACCACAGACCATAGAAAATTCACATCACTTCAGAACTTAGAATTATCTAAGAAGCTAAGTGAGCCGAAGAAGCAGCCAGAAATGAAGAAGACGAACTATTCTAACCTGTCAACAAGGCTAACGGGGATAACGAATAAGCTAAGGGACTTGGGAAATCCAAGTAATACACTAGGACGATTCAAGGCCCAATCACATGGTGATGTGGCGAATTTGAAACCAGTACTAAAGAGTCAAGATGGGGGGAAAAGATCAGTTGTTAGGACATGCAGCGCTGAACCACCAAAGAAAGTCACTTTCAGCGCATTTGCTACCGTCCAAGTCGTATAAAAACTTAGATTCTGTTTAGTTAAGAGTTTTCGTGTGAGTTATTTTGTGTTCTATTTTAGGTAGAGAAGTTGATTGACACCTTTTCCAGTAGACTATAGACGTTTTTGTTGATTTTAACGCAAATCAATTATGAATTATTGATTTCAACGTCCAATTAAAACCAGATAGATGATATCTACATTTTAGATTTTAAGAAGTAGATATACACACATGACTTGCTTCAACAATATTGATAATTAAATAAGGTGGAAATGGGCTTCTCTTGTACTGTATTATATTTAGGGCAGAAAACAGGTCGGGATTTCTGTGTTAATAACAAGTTTTGTCTTAATACTGCGGCTATCCGCGTTTAATTATGGAATTATAATACGAAAGAATTGCTTTTATTAAAAAAAGTTCTGTTAGGGCTTGAATCCTGCCATTAGATGAACTTTAGTTCGTGAATGTATATCGCTATAGACCCATCAACTGCCTTACTTACAACTGAGCGAGTTCCTTCGCGTCATTTGTTGTGATCAGCAGAAGTAAAACATTGTATCGATGGCTTCCTAGAATAGTGACCTATCTCAAAAGCTTCTAATTCACAAGGAAGATGGTTTAAAAAACCTGAAACGTGTCTAACGCGCAAAATTGACACATAGTAGACAGTCTCAACGTTGTCAGTAGACAGTCTCAACGTTGTCATGTGATTATTAACCAATGAAAAGCTCGATGTCTCATTCGCAGTAAAATTCAGCACTTTCTGATCAAACGTCAGTAATAAGTCAAAAAAGGAACTATTTTGAAATGGGATATTCTTAATGAGCAGTGATATGTATTGCTCTGGATTCAAGCCTTACAGCTGTGATTAACTGAAATAATACTTCTTCAATTTTTAAAGAATTAATTGTGATTTAAACAAATCTAATGTGACTTTTGCAAAAAATTGTGCTCTACACTTTGTGTACCCAAATAATTCGTTATTTTTTTTATTCTGAGTAATAATGTTCATACTTTATTATAATTATTGTGTGTAAATAACATATATATTATTGAATAATATTATTATTTATTATCATTCTAATTCTGAACTGACAAAGACGTTTATTATATATTTGACGTAGTCGTTTATTTACTATCTAGCTAGTTAACTGCATATTTGACCCATTTTTTACCTCAGTTTTGCCATTTCTACCACTGTTTTTACTAATTACCTGTCAAACTTTTGACAGTGTTGCCATTGAATCTACTGTTGCCGTCAATTTAAAGAAAATCAATCAAACTGTCATATGTATGTTTTTAAATCAATCAATGTGTCAAAATTTCTCGTAGTTTGACTTTTGTTCTTTCTTTTCATAAAACCTTGAAAATAGGGCCTTCACATTAGACACTTATAGAATCACCTCAGTGGCGCTACTGTGGCGCTGCAGTAACGCCACTACGAATTTTCATACAATATTGAGAAGCGCAGTTGCAGCACCACAGTCGTGACACGCGCGCGCCACTGTCACAACTAGTGTAATAAAAATTACTGAAGCGCCATTACAGCCGCTACTACAACCTAATTTGAAAAGTTTCTTGATTGGTTAAACTGTTGACAATATTAAGAAAACGATAAGAGCCAGTATAATTTGTACTATTGTCGCATACTAAATTTCCAATCATTATGCTGAAGGGATAACTAAATATTACAATACATACGTAATTAAATAAAAAAATTTTAAGCGTTCATATTGTCAGAATTATCCGAATGGTCTACAAGATTTTTAGCTGTGGTTCTATCCATCAAAATTACTCCTTAAAAATCCTTTATGTGTTATCGTGTGTGATGGTTTTGGAAGGGTAAACAACCAGGAAATTAGCGGGCTATATTACTAACGTCATAAACAATAACTTTTGTTCCATGACTTTTATTAAATACAAAAATAATTTAAAATTTAAATAGATCGCTCTAAACGGTGATAACTCTAAGCGGTAACAAAAAAAGCACTAACGTGAATCAACATGATATCAGTCCCATACAAAACACAGGAGCGGGGGTGTAGGTCGTCGTCGGAAGGACGCTTGAACATTTGAACTTATTACTAATCTAAAAAGTGTCAAATAGTACAACAAAAACTTAAAAGTATATTTTTGGTAAATTCATTACGTTTTGTAAAAATTAACGAAACAAAAGTTTTTGTTAAGACCTACGAGGTCAATAGTATTTTACAAATAACTCTGTATATCGACGGTAGAAATTTGAAATGTCGTAAGGAATATTTTGGTGGGAAATGTTCCTTACCACAAAATGTCGCTTACGACATTTCAAAATTACCTACATCGACGAAATTATTATCCTTATATCGACGGTAGAAATTTGAAATGTCCTAAGAGACATTTTGTCGTAAGGTCATTATGCCTTTTAAGGACATTTCAAATTTCCACCGTCAACATAGAAAATGAATCAGAAAGTGCTAAATTGTAGACAGCACCTTGCACCTCTGTCCTATGTCTCCTCTCGAGGCCAGATACCACCAACTCCGTGCCTCTACCTTCTTCTATTTTCACCTACACACTATATCTATCATACTCTACTACGTTCTAACACTTAACCGCCGTAACACGACGTTGTCACCCAATATGGATAACACATTTGGTAATGAAATGCCACCAATCTTTAATAGATTGATGTCGGTCACTTTCAAATATATTATTTTTATATTTGACATAAAAACGTATATTAGACTATATATTTATATGTAACAACAACACAACGTTGCAATGCCACAGTAAACTTAAAGTCGAAATTTTCAACTTGCATGGCCTAGTGGACCACCACTATGTATTAGGGCCTTAACCCTGTCTTTAAACGAGATCCATGCTCGGCAATGGAATCTAATACTTCAGTAACTTTTGCACAAAAACTCCGGAACGGACGTATTTTTTTATGTTTGCTTTTATAATAATAAAATGTATACAAGTATAAATGTATAGATATACAGTTTATATTGTCATAGGTGTCTTATTGGCGGCGCTATGGCAAAAAAGCCGTTAAAAACAAAAAACAAAGATCTGCAGCAAAAACTAGTGGTGTACTTTCACAAAAAAATATAAATAAATATAACATACGTACATTCATATTTATCTATGTATAACCTCCTCGTAAGTACTTACGAGGGCGGTTTGATGAAAAACGTGACTTTGAGGTTAAATAGAAACTTTTTTGAGAATGTATTTATAACTCCTTAATAACAACTGACGTTACTTTTTCAAAATTAGCCCGACAAAATAAAAATAAAAAGGTAGGGGAGGTCTATATATATTTTTTGAAGATAGTGAAAACGGAATTTCGAATATTCTGTGTGTCATCTGCAACCACAACATGAAATTTTGTCGAATTATTGTACGAACTTTTACCGCACTCCCCGTATTCACCAGATTTATCTCTTTTATCCATTTAGAGGACGGACGTGATAAGTGAAACAGGGGCTTATTTTTCAGTTTGATAAAAAAGTTTTTTTTTTATGAAGTTATAATATCACTAGTCAAGTTGTATAGAGTAAAGAGGAGATTACGTACAAAATAAACCATAATTTAAAAGAGTGTTTTTTTTCTTCTCAAAGTGACGGACGTACCAAACTACCCTCGTAGGTATGTAATAATCAGAACGGATATTTCTGTTACATGATAAACATATTATGTATTATTGACTTTGTAAATATATTTTATAATCAATTTAATACATACCCATACGTAATAATACATTTTTTCATAATTAAAGTACTTAAATTATTTGTTGTATTTTATAATTACTATTTTTTCTGAATTCTGTGATTACTAGTCGATTTTGTCATTGGTCATAAAAAGTTTTATATAAAATATTCTGAATAATAAAATTATAACTAAAAATCCTGAAATTATACGATTAAATTAGGTCAAAATATATTTTAAAATACTTAATTATCTTCTATTTTTAGTAACTCTTAAGCGATGCAAGAATTTGCACTTTAATATCTGTTTTAAGAGAAAAAGTCATAATTATTGTCATAATAATTTGTAATTAATTCAGAATTATTGTTATAATTATGTGTACGTAGTGATTATTATGTTTGTAATTAACATTTTTGCAGTTTTTAGTTTGTTGTTGTTTCTAGTTTCGCTTTAAATTTGTTGGAAAAATAATTAAATGTGTTTTACTAAATAATATTTTTTTATTTGAAATGTGCCCACAGTGATTTCTGACTATATTGACTTTGAATAGTAGGTTGCCTTCACTGCGTTAACCGTGGCCGCGTAGAGATCTTCCCTCGTTCAGGGTACAAGAGGCACAATAGCAAGTGCTGTGTGGGCTGTGTTGCGGTATCGCAGAACCCCCATTTACACATTTTATCTATGCAGCGACCTAACAGAGTGCGTAGTCGATTCAAGGAAACACTGGCCACCGCAGAATGAAATCGGTTATCGGTATAGGTGGTATTCTCAACGAATTTTAATAATATATATCATTTATAAGACAATAAGTTGAAATACACAGGTACGTTACAGTAAAATTTTAAATACTAGAAAACAAAACTAGGATTAAATCATATGAATAAAATTGGGTCCCAAGGTGCCCAAGATGCCTGGCAATATGAGACAACATCACAAATGTTCCTCCGGGGAAGTACTGAAATAAGGGGGTAGCTCAGATTACGTGGCGAGAGGCATTTCTATAAATTCAAACTGTAATAATCTTTAAGATATTTGGTTTATTTCACTTTTTTACATAATTTTAGTATTGCGTTACAAATCAAAACTGTCTGTCTGTCAAGATCTTCTATTCTTACTTATTTCATTTCTTCGAAAGAATTCTAAATACAAACTAACTCATTCAGCCAGAGATTCTACTCAGAGTACAGCCTAGTCTACATCCCTCTTCCTCACAGCTGAAGGGGTGAACATCCCTAGCTGGTGCTCTACCTATGATAGGCAACTTACATCAGTGATCAGCCTTTACTACAGGCTAGCCACACACTGCTCGGAAGCTATCAACTTACCAACAAGTAACCACCGAGGAGGCTATGGCTTTAGTCTGCCAAAAACCTATCCAAAAAGACAGACCATGACCACGTCCTAAACAAACAAATCAAAAAAATATATAATTACTCGCTATCCTAGCTAAATAGGGAACCTGACTAAACTCTAACACTTTATTTCATCGACCCTAAACTGGCTGAACGACCCTATCAAACTTCTAAACATTGCTACAAAACTATTTCCCTAAACTCCCTAAACCTAAGCTATCTCCAACGTGCATGCTGCCACAATGACGACACAGGCTTGAACATCCATCGGACGATCACTGGGTTACATCACTATTGATCTCCCAGCTGCCTTAGTCCTCATTTTGCAGCTATCACGTTCCATCAGCTTCACTTACTATCTTTAAACAAACAAGAACCAACACACATATAACGCTAACAACATATCCTAACATACACATGGGATGGGGATATCCCATATGAAAGACGCCTAATTAATTAAATAAATATACTTTCCCCGAATGCAGACAGTCCTTGTTCAACTGGAAGGATGAGCACGAACTATTCGCATATACAGGATAATATATCTATCAAATTAAAAAAATATATAAGAAAAACAAAAGTAAATGTTATCTATTTGATGGTGTATCCTCTCCTCCCTTCCTTCCAAGTCTGCATGTACAGGAAAATATTAATTTTTCTCCAATTATTTCTCATAACGTCAATGTGGGACCTTATGTACGCTTTCTTGATGTTGTGTCGTAACAAGACATAAAAATATTCTACACCGGACTTTTCTTCATCGGAATCCTTATCCACGGTTCTTTTTCTTTAAAGCCGGCGCAATCCACCAACTTGTAATAGGGGTCATAGCTCTAATGCATTGCGAGAGGCATTTCTATAAATTCAAACTGTAATAATCTTTAAGATATTTGGTTTATTTCACTTTTTTACATAATTTTAGTATTGCGTTACAAATCAAAACTGTCTGTCTGTCAAGATCTTCTATTTTTACTTATTTCATTTCTTCGAAAGCATTCTAAATACAAACTAACTCATTCAGCCAGAGATTCTACTCAGAGTACAGCCTAGTCTACAGTACTGCCACCTTACCTATTTCTGCCACCAAGCAGTAATGTCAGCATTACTGTGTTCCGGTTTTGAAGGGAAAGGGTGCTGGTGAAATTACAGGCAATGGGAGTTGTCAGCTTATGTCTCTGGATGACGGGCGCAGTGGTAGTAACTGTCATGAACACATTAGTAATGTGAGCAATACTACGTTCAACGTGTCAACGTATGGCTCAAGGTAACGGGCGCAGTGGGAGTGCCCCTCAGATCTTTATGGTTTAAAGCTCTGAGTGGCATTGCAACTGTTATAGACAGGCGTGTAGCTTGATGGTAATCAAATGCACGACTTTTTCGTGCCGTCACTTGAGTTTTATAAACAAGAAATAATCCATTCACTGGCAGGTAAATATTGCATACTATTTATTACTATGCGTAGCACGTTTATGCCGGCACTGTTTTTTTGTTACAATTCCTGTTAAATCCATGTTTCAAGCAAGTAAACTAATTATTATTATTAATCAGTACCGTTTTATGTGGATTGACTCGTATTTGGTGATCTCTTGGCCACAAATACGCAACGGTGCACAGTGGGTGCAAAAACGAGCTTGCCTATCGTAGGATTTTTTGAAAAACGAAATGTTATTTTCGACTGTCAAAGACGTCAAAACACTGAATAATCTACTGGTCACGAGTTTTTTTTCGTGTTAATGTCATAAAAATACGAGTTAGTACATTTCAAATGAGATAGATTTGTTATATTATAATCATAACTTTTTTGTCTTATACGGCAAGGCTGAAACTTTTAGGTGTTGTTACAGAGTCTATGACAAAGTAATAAGACTTGGCTTTTACCCCAGACGTCCCCGTTCAAAATATATAAGTAATAAAAACTGCATATTTGAGCAAGGCCTAAGGGGCAATGTGCCGCAAGAATCAGTTTGTGCAAAATTGGTTTAATCAGTATTGTTACCTGATAGACAACAACTCCATATGACCTTGACCCAAAAGATTCCCTTCAAAAGATATGAATTCATCATGCATATTTGGGCGATATTGTCTAAGGGGGTAATGTGATGTATGCTGAACGCACCACCGTTGCTGAATACATCAAGTTCACACTTGTATGGTTTGCCGAATCGTTTTTCTGGACGGTTTCTGGGGGTGAATGCGATTCTACACAGAAGGGTGAATTCACAATATAGGTAACACCGTATATGGTGAAAAAAACGGTTCATTTATTTTCCGTGCCGTGTCACTGGAAACGTGAGCGTAGGGTAAAAAAACCGAATCGGTCGCAACCGCAATCACTCGGTTCGGTTTTTCGTACTCCGCCGCAACGTCCTCGTCCATCTTCCACGAAACTGTATTATGAGCGTTGCAGCAAAACTTCCGGTTTCTGCCCCAAAACGGTTCTACCGTAACGGAAAACTGGCTCACAAAACGTATAAATGAGAACGCGTGTACGTTTTTTAACCTGTACGTTTACTGTTTTAAAGTTTATTGTATTGTCAACCCAACGTGCAGATCGTCAAAACCTGTAGTGCTCTCCAGAATCATACTTCGGAATTTGGAGATGTGAATTTCTTGTCATGCTATTTCGTTATCTGCGCGTCGGTTGCTCTCAACCACAATCAGCAGCGCAGTCGCAGGCCAGTGAGCAGTGTTATTTAGGTTGCCGGTAAATATCTACGTTTGAATAGGTAAGTTCAATTTGAAAATAATTTTTTTGCTGAATAACTTTTCTATTTGCACAAGATTTTTCTTTTTTATTTTAGATTTTATATTATTTTATTATAGGCCGTAAAATAACTATTTTTTAAATTTGTGTTAAAAATGTCTATCGGTTTTTGTATCGCACTTGGTGTAATAAAGTCACATTTTGTAAAATGGCAACTTTTCAGGAGAGAGGTTTGAAGATTAAAATAAAATTAATTATTAAAAATAAAATTAGTCGATAGCTTTTTTTACACTTAAATATGTGTAAAAAAAGTTATGAAATTCGTATTATTTTTAAAACTTCATGTGACAAAAGCACTATTCGATATGTTATTTTTGTAAACAGCCATATTTATTTACTAATATTTTTTTGCAAAAAAAAAACTAAGAAACAAAAACAGAATTGTTATAATTATTAATATAAATATCCAACACTTAGAAAAAAATACTTCGATCCGGCCGTATTTGAATCGACGACGTCTCCTAGCAAACTGTGCCAGACGCTATGCCAATTTAAGCCACAGAACGAACCAACGGACCTCCCGAATAATCTATGTGCTTGGTTTTCAACGATTTTTCAGCCGTAGCGCCATCTACGAGAAATCTATGAAAGTATTTCGTTACCCAGTTAGGTACCTTTACAGCTACCAGTCCTGGCTAGAGATGTCGCTATTAACCGTAATGAATTTTTTGGTAAAATGCTAGTGGAGTAATTTCACAATAAAAAAAATTATATGATGGTGGTGAAATATTCTGATATTCAATAGAAATTTAAAAACACGACTAGTCCAAATACTAAGAATACTAGTTAAATGGAGATATAGTTTGGATGTAACCTATACACGTGGTTTTATTATAATAACCGTACGACATCACAGTTACTATCTATGCAAGTCTCCTTCACAAAAATAAATCGGTTTGTTAGGTATGTTTGTTAAAAATATATTACGAGCAAATAAATAATTTATTAATATTTATATCTCTTGGCATATCTCGGGCCTAAATTGCCCTTTTGAGGACAAGCATGGCAATTCATACGGGGCAAGTTATGAATGAAATAAACAGAAAAAGCAAACTAAAACGTGTAATTCTTGTCTCTCTTACACAATTACTCCATTAACTGGTTCTTATGTACGGGATAGTATTTTTTTAAATAACGCCTTTATGGAATAGAATACATTTACGGTCTGAATGTGGTGAACATTAAGGTCTTATGAATATAATTACCTGCTAAACTGCCTCTGTGGCCGAACGGTTACCATGCCGAACTGCCATGTATGTTCCCAACTTATTAATGATATTTACATATATTTATAACTTTTATTTAAATACATACGTGTGTCGTAAATGTGTAGTGTGGCTTAAAAGGAAGGATATACATGTACCATTTCCTCGGGACTCAGTCGACGCCGATACAGGAACGACTGAAAATCAGCGTCTGTTTCGACCGAGATAGACATATTGCTGAGTCGTATCCTTTTCCTCGCTTGAGCCACTGCGCACACTTACTAACTTAAATTAGTAAATCACTTGTTGTTTTCTTTTTAGTTGTAATTTTAGATATAAGTGTGTGTAGTGTTTCAATTCAGTGAATAGACTTCTTTCTTTCTTTCTTTCCATGTAGAGGTCTCAGGTTCGATTCCCGGGCCGGGAGAAATATTTCTATGGCCTACATTTATGGAATTTGTGGTTGTCTATGTGTGTGTCTATGGGACCAGCGACACAGGATTTCCCTAGCGCCGGGCTATGTTGAGTGTGTGCGCTATTATTGTTATTATTAATTACCGTCCTCACAATCTACCCGCTACGGGCGTACAATGTTTAATTGTTGTTGTTTTATGATTTGAAGTGACAGGATGAACAAATTGTGCGCTTGGTGTTAAGCAACATGCCTGTCCATAGCAGTTGTAGTGTCACTCAGAGCTTTAAGTCGCAAAGATTTGAGAGACACTGCCACCGTCCTGTCACCCTGAGACATAAGTTGACCAGTCCCATGTGCCTGTAATTTGACCAGCACTCTTACCTTTCAAAACCGAAACACAGTAATGCTCGGTGGTAGAAATAGGTAGCAGTAGTTGTGGTGGCAGTACTTCCCTAGACGAACGAAAAAATATCCACACTGACCCAACCGGGGATCGAACCCGGGACCGCAGAGATGGCAACACCATGAAACCGGTGTACAAGCCACTCGACCACGGAAGTCGTCAATTGAAATCTATTTGCCAAGTTTTATTAAAATCCGTTAATGAGTAATTAAATTGACCACCTTACATTACATTAATTTACAAATGAGTAATTTACCACCTTTGTAGGTGAATATGTTCTTCAAATTTGAATTTATCCACTACTGAGGGTACCTCCTTTCCAACAAAAAGAATCATCGAAGTGAGTTTACAAATGTCGTGGTAAACGCGTAACATAAACAAAAAAATACAGTCGAAATAAAATTCTTCTCCTTTTTTTGGAGTCGGTTAAAAATTGCCATGCGTGCCAATTTCCACATTCGCAGAAAGGCGACAGTGGAATAGACAAAACTACAGTATCTTTAAAATACAATGATTGTTAGTATAATATAAAAGAAAACTATATTTCTTCGATTTCAATTCACAACCGATTGTTACAATTATGTTACAATAACACTGTTATACAGAATGTACGGCATTTTGCTTTGGGGTAATGCCGCCGATATCAACAGAATCTCTGTCCTGCAGAAACGTGCAGTTAGGGCAATTTACAATCTGGGCCCCAAAGTATCTTTGAGAGATAAGTTTAAGGAAATTAACATTCTTACACTAGCCTCACAGTACATTTATGAAAATGTAATGTATGTTAAAAGGAATAGTAATTTATTTATGAAAAATAGTGACAGACATAACATTAATACGAGGAATAGAAATAAACTAGCTTTTCTTGATAGTCGTCTTCACAAAGTCAAAAAATCATTTAAGGGGCAATGTATACGCTTCTATAACAAGATTTCGGTTGATATACAAAATTTGCCTTACACGAGGTTTAAAACTATAGTAAAACAAAAACTTTATACTAAAGGTTATTATACAACTTCTGCGTACTTGGATGACAAAAATCCGTGGTAATAACCCGTTTAGCTCATGGAGGTAGTCTCGATCTCTGATGTTTCAAATAATAAAAAAAAAATATTGTAAATGTTATTTACAAAGAGCAACCCCTAGAGTTTCTTGCTCATTCTTCTCAGGGGAATCTGCCTTACGAATGAGCGGTAGAGTTTAACCATTGTGACGATTTCAAGTGTAATAATGCTTACCTATGAAATAAAGATTATTTTGAATTTGAATTTGAATTTGTATAAAAAAATATCACTGAAAAGCTCTTCAAATATTTGTCTTTTCCTTTGTGGCTTTTCTTCCGTCTTAACCTTAACTTTGACATAGATTTACCTTTTTTTATGATATCAGTGACGGGACGAACAAGCCGTGAGCCGGGTGTTAAGCGACACGTCTGTCCATAGCGGTTGCAGTGTCACTCAGAACTTTAAATCGCAAAGATCTGAGAGACTCTACCACTGCGCCTCCTGAGACATAATTTGACAAGTCCCAATTTCACCAGTACCCTTACCCTTCAAAACCAAAACGCAGTAACGCTCACATTACTGCTTGGTGGCAGTAGTCTCTGGACGAATTCTTTGAAGATGATCTGATGAGGTCTAAGAACGTCAAATATGCAGGCAAGTTAAACTGCATGTGATTCGAGAATACTTTAGGTTAGTAGCCACTCATCAGGCCGTCTTGGTGGCCTGAACCTCCTCCATAAAAAAGAGCCGTGCTCGACAATGGACCGTACAAGAATCGATATAGTACTGATGGGTGTCACGCACTGCTGGCACCGCTTAAGCATGTCCTATAGATTGTAATGTAACCTGGAGACAGCGTTGCCACACATTGTGGGGAATTTCAGCTCACTTGAACTCGATTGGGGCCTTTGTGGGGATTAGCGCTGTGTGGGTTTGGTTTAATTGGCTCTATTGACGCTATGCCAGAATGCCCGCATTGTCCCACAAAAACCCCAATCAAGCTCAAATGATTTGACATTCCCCACACATTGGCAACGCAGCCTGGAGAGTATAGTAGCCTCCGAAGCCTTCACACATCTTGCTTAGTAAGTTTAAAGTTCAAAATGAAAAAGGGAAAGTATTTTGATCTTTTAAATATTTATCGCACAAGAGATTTTAGTTACCTTCAAAAAATTTAAGAGGAGACATGCTCGTTTCGGCGATTGAGCAGAGAGTGATGACGTAACGAAACAAAATGAGAATGGCGAGATATAGGAGTTAAAGAACATTTGAAAACAAGTGGCCAGAAACCAGGGAAAGGTGATAAAAGGTCACACTACTACGTACTACGGTCGAACTCTTTTCCGAAAAAAAAAGTTAACGTTTCTTTACATGTTTTCAAACATCCTATATACCTATGCTCTGTATATAATCGGGTAAAATGTTTACTTAATTCCTCAGTTCATCATGTCTCTGGTCCCGAAGGCTTTCGAGTCGAGCAAGATTGTGCCTGATGTCATACCAACTCCACCCACCGCCAGCATTGAGGTCAGTGTTTATACTTCTTCATTTAGTGTCAACATCATCATCATGAACTCATGTATACGTCCCGCAGGCAACACCGCGAACGGAACTAAACTATCTTAGCCTAGCTCACGTAGTCGGGGCATCTTTTCATACTTCGATTCACACCGCGAACTAACCGAGCTACCTTTTTTTTATTACCCGGAATCTGTTAAAGATACTCCGGCCCTGCGGGGGCAGAACCGGGGTTATGTGGGACTGGGCTGAACCCTGAATTGGAGCAACCCGACTTCACCAAACCCCCGGGGTGTTCCTCCTCTCCGCTGCAGGTAGAGGCACGGGTACGCTATCGCTCGTCCGCGCCTCCAGCGGCTGGCCGCGCCCAGCGCAGGGAAGAAGGGAGACACAACGGTCCCCCGACTCCAAATGTAAGGCTCGCCGAACACCAGACGAGCTTTCCATCTCGGGCCCCTCCATGCTGCGCAACGAACTCCCCCGAGTCCGCTACCCAGGGGCCATGGGGCCAGGACGAGATCCCCTCAACTGTGAAGTTCAGAGGATGCTCCCCCAGCCGTCGCGGCGGATCTGTTGGTAGGCTCCGCCGCAACGCTCTACGCGCATCCACGTGGACTCTCCGCAGAGAGTTCTTTAGAGCGCCCACCGCACGGGCCAATCGCCCAAATTCGGCCGCGGAGGACAGGACGAGCGGCAACGACACACCGACACGTCTCTTCCCCCGCGACCATCCACACCGCATGCGTCCGCGCGGACCCGCTCGGCCTAGATCGAGACGAACCTACGCGATACACTCTCCTCCTCGGGCCAGCCTAGCTCCATCGGCCGGCCCGTGAGTTCCTCTTAGCTTCACCGTGCTAACTAAACTAACCTAACGGTCCCCACGATCCACGTGTACATAGTTTTCTTTTCATAACATCAAGTGACGGGACGAACAAGTCGTGGTATGTCAGGCGATGGTAAGCTACACGCCTGTCCATAACTGTTACAGTGCCACTCAGAGCTTTAAATTGCAAAGATCTACCACTGCGCCCGTCACAAGTCCCATATTCCTGTACTTTCACTAGCACCCTTACCCCTCAAAACTGGAACACAGTACTGCTGACATTACTGCTTGGTGGCAGAAATAAGTAAGGTGGCAGTAAATTAGCTGGCATCGTTGGTTGTATGCAACGTGAGTTAAGCTGAGTTAGCTAGCTTCGTTCGCGGTGTGGCTTGCGCTTTAGTCCGCCACGTTGACCTAATGCAGGTAGTGGACTACACGTTTTCCGAGGGTTGTCAGCCTCACCGAAAAGCTCATGGTAAATTTCAAATTAAATTTCGCACATAAATTCAGAGGTGCGAGTCTGGATTCGAACCCACGGCCTCTGTTTGAGAGGCGATAGGTCAAACCATTAGAGCGATTGCACACTCCGTCCAATTCGTATCAGTTCCAACTTCGAGAAATAACGGTCCGAAATCTGACGTCCACGAACTAAAACGCGGCAAATTGACAAAATATTTTTTTGACATTTGTCAAAAAAATAAATTTGTGTAAGCTCCGATAAATCGAACACGTTAAGTAATTCTGTTTTTAAAAGAGAATTTCGAGCTCTCTTTTTTGCTATTTCAAAACGGATATTTGACCATTTGTTACTTGTTACATTTTTTGTTACTAGTTACATTTGTGACGGCAGAAATGTCACAGTGATAATTTTATCTCTAGGTGTACAAGAGATACTCGTATTTTCTCGGATTCGTAATAAATACGAATCGGATGCAGCACTGGGCTATCACGGCTTCATTTAGTGTACTTTTCCTTTATTTAATGCCTTGTAAATGTAGATTTCGCCTTATTAAAGAAACTAGACAACAAATCAACCACGCAAAGCTTTCACCCCAGCGGCCGTTGGACACTTAGAAATTCAATAAAGTCATAAATCATTAACCACCTAAACACTAGCATCGCCTCGCCTTAAAACACCTCCTCCACTTACTTAAATGTAAATTGAAATATATCCAAACTTTCTACTCATTCGTAAGGCAGATTCCCTGAGAAGAAAAAATAAGAAACTGTAGGGGTTGCTCTTTTTACGATAAAAAATATTTACAATAATTATCGAGACAACTTGAAAGAACTAAACGGGTCAGTACCATAGATTTTGTCATCCAAGTACACAGAAACAGCATGTATCCGTTAGTATAAAGTTTTTGTTTCTCTATAGTTTTATATCATGCATTTTTATTTGTCGTACCGAGTGACAGACGAACAAGTCGTGCGCGTGGTAAGATACACGCCTGTCCATAACAGTTGCAGTGCCACTCAGAACTTTAAATAACAAAGATCTGAGGGGCACTGCGCTCGTCACCGTGAAACTTAAGCTGACAAGTCCTAAGCGCCTGTAATTCACTAGCCCCTTACCATTCAAAACACAATAACGCTGACATTACTTGTTGGCGGCAAGATAGCATAGTTGGTCGGTAAGATAGCAGTACTTCCCTGGACGAATTCTTTCACAACGAGATCTACCTGCTTCTAATAAACGGCAAATTTTGAATATCAACCGCGATCTTCTTCTATCTTATTTGTACACTTTGTGAAAATAACTGTCAAGAACCGCTAGTTTATTTTTATTCCTCGTATTAATGTTATGTCAACTTATCAATATTTAAAAGTACTTATCACTATTATCTTTGAAAGACCTTGACATTGCCAATTCGATTATAAGACGGCTTATTATTTACATTACATAATAAAATTAATACTTAATCAATTATCTTAAATATCGCGTAATGTAGGTAACTAAATGACAGCAGCACAAGGTCGTAAGTTACATGAAAATAAGCGAGTTCTTTGTAGAGAATTTGTGTAATGACGTTCAATTTCTTTCTTCATGAATGCCAATAGCAACATTTTGTCATCGCAGCGCTCGCCACCGGCAGGGAGTGCATCCTCATACACTGGAACCGACTCGATCTCGTTCTGTACGGTTTCAGAGGAACTTCCTCCCACGTACAATTAGGTCGTGAAATGAGCTCCTTATCGGGGTTTTCCCGCAGGAATACAGCATGGAGTCCATCCGTCCGTCTGTGGTCCTAAAGGGTTGGCAACGCGCTCGTGACGCCCCTGGTTTTGCAGGCGTTCATACGCGACGGTGACCGCTTTCCATCAGGCGGGCCATACACTTGTTTGCTGCCTATATAATAAAAAAATAAAATGAAATAAAATAAAATGTATACGCATTATTTAGCGAGCTTTCATTAAGCGACTTCAAAACAGGAGGAGGTTGTCATTTCGATTGTATTTTTTTTTTGTTTTTGTATGTATGTTACGCGATAACTTCGGCATTTGTGAACCGATTTTGACGATTCTTTTTTTTTTTGTTGGAAAGAGGGTATCTCAGTATTGATCCCATTTAAATTTTAAGAAAATATTCCACCGGGGAGGGTGGCAAATTAGGGGATGAATCCGGTCTTGCGTACTTTCCAGTAACCAATTTCAATAAAATTTAGGAAACAAATTAACTCCACGAACTTTTGAGGTCGGTTTTTAGTACTCTGTACTGAGATTATTTAGGCTTCTAGTTGGCATCTACGACGGCCTAAAGCTGTTCGTTTATGTTCATTCTGCAGTATGGAATTGTAGTGCTTCAGAAGATTTCCATAGCATGAACAAGCATAATTGTCTTTAATCTAAGAGGACACAAAAGTCATTATTATATCCTCATTTTATATCTGCGTCAAGTGTTACTGATTCACTATCGTGACGGCCAGGCAGATCGGAGGAGAAGCAAGAAGATATTTTTATCTACATTAGTCAAAATATAAGTCTAACCTTTTTTCAGCTCAAGTTCCCCAGTGGCGCGCAAGCATCCTATGGCAACGAGCTTACTCCCACGCAAGTTAAGGACCAGCCCACCGTCACGTATGCGGCGGATGCAAGCGCTTATTACACTCTTGTCTTTACCGGTAAGAGATTAAAAGAAAAATGAAAATGGCAAATCAACACAGAACCAAGTGTTATAAAGCGCATGCATAAAAAATTAATGTAAAAACTCATGAATATAAATTTGCTCGTCACAATTTGTAAGGAGTTTCAGCTAAAAATATTCAACTACAATTTAATTTAACCTTTTCTGTGCGATAGATCCCGACAACTATGATGGACCTGAGAAAATTTACAGAGAATGGCACCACTGGCTAGTTGTGAATATTCCTGGGAACAACGTGTCAGAGGGTGAAGTGTTATCCGGTTACATCGGATCCGGGCCGCCACAAGGCACGGGAATTCATCGCTATGTGTACATACTGTATAAACAGCCTGGAAAGTTGCAGTTCAATGAAAAGAGATTGACTAACAAGTAGGTTTTAAGTTACTTCTATAATCTACAATGTAAACATTTTCTAGGCTTTCTTGTAACATTCTCGACTTCTTTCAAATTCTTTTGATGTACGTTTGAGCTTGTATACGTTGGTAAGGCCGTATAGGACACTTGTACTATAGCATTATTATCATACATCATTATGGTTTAGTCATTTGCTAAAAAATGGGTAAGCCTAGGTTAGGCTCAAACTCGCGCGGTTTAAATATGGCTGAGATTTATAAAACGTACCAAACGACTATTATGAAATAATCTCAATTTTTAATTTAATGTCTTGCTTAAACTTGGTATCATACGAAAAATTTTCTTAGATCGCCATTTTGGCTTAATCGAGGTCAAAGTTCGGCTTTATAAATCTCAGTTTATGACAAGACCATCAAAATACTAGTGTTGCCTAATGCGAGACAAAAATAACAACAAACAGACTGAGGTCTTGGCCTCGCGTTCGTATACAGTCTTGCTCTTGGTCTTAGTTTTACTACAGTGAGATTGTTTTGGTCTTGCAAAAAAGCAAGAACAAGCCGAGGTGTTCCCGAGCCGTGATAGGTAACTGCATTTTACAGTACAAGTACGGCTTAATCGACTATAAACTTAATAATTTGACCTTCACTTCTTCAATTTGACTTCATTCATTTGACCGCAGTCGCATGTATGAAATGAAATAAATGGCATGTATTTAAATGATCATTTTAAATTTGCAAAAGCAGCAGGCAAAAAAGTCTAAACGGTCATCTTTTTTAATGATTGATCGTTGTTCTCTGAGACATGAAATATATTAAATCAATGTACTTTTAATCTGTTCTGAGCTAATGTTTGAACCTGTAAAAAACCTGAAACCATGTTCGGAAACGCTCTGCTTTTTCATATACAAACCTTTTTTATTTCCTGAAAGAAGGTTGCTTCCTGATACCCCGGCCCTGCGGGGGCAGAGTCGGGGTTATGTGGGGTTGGACTGAACCAATCTAATCTACTGAATGGAGGGCGCAACCAACATATGACATATATGAAAAAAATCTATTAAATATTATTTTTGACTATAAAATATTAATTTAGTACGCTTAAACATAATTTAAGTGTTACCTTTAATGCAGTTATTTATAATTTATCCGTAGATCAAGTAATATAGACGGAAGAGTTAATATTATAATTATATGAAACATAAAACACCATAAACAATATCGTTTATTTAAAAAAGGGCACATTTACAATAGATCAATTAATATAGAATAGACATTTATTGCAACGCCACAACACATAGATACAAAAAAATATTGATACCACTTAGACAAGCAAAACAAAACAAAAAGACGTAATTAACAAAATTAAAATAAAATAAAATAAGACAATAACAAACAAGGAGCAAAACAGAAAAATACTAAATATAACAACTACAAATGTTGTACTGTCATGTGTGCGGTTGTGGCGTACGCAAAAGTGACTGTGGCGCTGGTTTTCAATGAGCCCTGAATATTTTCAAGGATCAAATAATATTATCCCGAAATAAATTGTAAACTACTTTTGGTTTGGGTGTTCCAGGTAGTGCACCGGAGTGAATTTCTCTAGTTTAAGATTATTGATGTGGTTGTTTGGCACGTTATTATTTTATTAATTATACTGGGTGACTGGTTGAACGATATAAATATTTAAAGAGGCGAATGAGTAGCTGATGTCTAATCCGTATATGTATAAAGAATCGTCTCTGAACATAAGATAAATTCGTGCCATTTTACAAATACTAACACACTCTTTATTTGGGCTACTCTACGAAACAGAACACCAGTAAGGTTAGCACGGCATGGTGCGACTTGCGCGTGAGCGACATTAAACGCGAGATCTCTATGCGAGAATAACAGTATTAGCAGTCGCGCTTCTATGTCGCTCTCGCGCTGGTTACGCCCTGTCGTGTTAACGGCGACGAGGACGACATGGCCGTGTTAGTACCTACTGAACGGTAGTAAATTGAACACCCGCGTGTCAAGCCTTCGTACTTAAAGGGTACTATTAAAATATAATAATAAAATTAAATTTTCCCCTCATTCAAAGCATGCGCAAAGGCTGGTAAGGGTAGCGGGTACTCGCTGCATGTTCGATTATTACAAAATGTTAGAGGCAGTATTTTCTTTAGAGAAAAATATTTAAAAATAAGGCAGTGTTTTTTTTACATATCTCTTTAAATATTTATCT